CCAAAGCACTTGAGTTCTATCTCCCTTTAGTCCTACAACTCTTAGCTCCAGACCAACCAACCTCTCCTCCGAACCTACTGAGTATTTTGGCTCCTTTTCTTTGCTCCTGCCACTCTCTCCATTCATATAAACGGCCCTCCAGATCCACCTCAAACTTGAGTAACCCCACCCAGCCCTGAAGGGCAAGCTCACAATCTATTTGGCTTTACCTCTGTAAAATTGTTTGCAGATTCCTCTAGGGGTCCATTGGCACCCTTTCATTCTGTTGTACATCGGGTCGTGTCACTATGAGTCAGAGCTGACTAGATAGCATCTAACCATGAAAATATTACGAGGCATGCTCTATCTCCCCTCTCCCAAACACTTACCCAAATCATCGGCCTATGTCACTGCCATCGCCATATCCTGTCCATGCTGACTCTTAGTGACCCTACAGGAGAGGGCGGATCTGCCCCGTGGGTTTCCAAGAAGAACTCTTTATGGGAGCAGAAAGCCTCATCTTTCTCCCATGGAATGGCTGGTGGCTTCAAACTGTAGAACTTGGGCTAGCAGTCCAATGCTTAACCCCCTACACCACCAGGGTTCCTCATAGAGCTCTGCTCACCTTCATTCAACCTTCTCTTAGCATTTCAACCATTGCCACCACAAGAAAGGAAAGGCTCACCTTTGCCCCTGCATCCCTGACGCTCCTCTATGGCCCCTTCCTTTAGCTTAGGGGAGCATTACAATTCAGAGAAAGAAGGCACAGCATGGAAAATGAATAGACTCCTACACAGTTCATCGAAAGGCATATGTTGCGCCAGGTGATGGACTGGCCGAAGTTTAACTCTTTCTAGGCCCACAGAGTCAGGAAGGCTCTGCTGTAAAGATGAGGAATCCCAACGGGTGTCCATTCATTTTGGATGGGGTTGGAACCAGGCCACTCAAAGTCTTAGAGACGTATTGCTATTTTATTTCCATGAAAAGGGCCTTGGATACATAATGAAAGTCATGATACACATTAAATGGGAAATGCTTCGTTAGAGTTGCACACAGTAGCTGGCTGTCCGTTTTGCACAAAAGGCACTACCTGTGCCCTTTCAGTGTAAATGCACAGCTTATCCAGAACCGAAATGGAGAGGTCCCAGCATTCTCTGCAGCTCTTGCACATGGGACCTGAGCTTCCGATCCATCTCATAATAAATAAAGCTAATTATACCCACAGTGTTCATGGCATAGGATATAAAACAAAACTGGCACCGTCACAAATGTGAGCAATAATTTTTCAGCTGGTTGATAAAGCTAGCCACTAAAATAAGTGAACGCCACATCCCATCATTCACATGGGGTTCCATTACACTGTTCCAGGGGGCTCCTAGGGTGGAGTACCTGGAAGCCTCTGATAGCCATAGGTGGCAGTCAAAAGCAACATCTCAAGCAAATGGCCTTTTTATGGCAATGACACGCTGCACATTAGCCTTGTTCTTTTAAAAGCTTATTGACTTGGGATGGAGACACTTAATACATGCCACTGATTCTTTCATTTGCATGTGGTGATTTACTTGTCAAACAATTCTAATCACAAACAGTGCCCAAATGCATGGCCATCTACACCAGCAGATTTGTACCTGAAAGGGGAGAATAAACAAAGGCATCCATGTACCACTGTGCATGTGACCTTGTCTAAAGGTACATGTTTTAACACATCCCTTTCTGATTCCACTTGATAAAAATAGGTCTTTCACTGTTTTTGGCCTCTTGAAATGAAGTTAGCTAGACTTGAAATCTCCTTTAAGAAATGCTAAGGAACCAGGATATGTTCCAGGGATAAGAAACAAGGAAAATTAATTCATTAGTCATATGTGTGTACACACATAAACAAACATGAGTGCATAGGCACCCAACATACTACCTTGTAATGATGGCTTGTGCTAGTTCAGTTCACATGCATGTACATGTGTATTTGTATATATGGATGTGCCTATTTGCATATCTTAGAATGCTGTCTGGTCCCCGGTCATTTCTCAGCCACTGCCAGAGATACACTTCACTGCCTCATTTTTCAGCCTCTGTCACCAGAGTCAAGGAAAGAACTGGGAAAGCTTACAGCAATACTGTGACTGCTCTACCGAGAAGCTTCTTGATAATAACTCAAAGCCAGTGCCCCCCTCACAAAAGATGGCTACGTCACCAAGGGACCCAGAACCCACTACCTGAAACTGGTGGCACCAGAAACCACTATTGAATTCTAATGCAAGTGGCTTTTGCAAAGTGCATCAGGATTTAATAGGGTGACTGGGCAAATTTGTTCAGAGTTGTACCTACGTAAACTCTATTAGGTTATCATCTCCATCGTAGTTCACCCTGTTTTTATTTAAGCCTGCTTGTTCATTGACTCCCTCATAGGCTCTCTGTTGGGCTGTCTACCTCTCATTCTCTTGCCTCCTCTTTTTGGTTGCCACACTAACCTTGAAGCCTATATAGACCCCTGATTTGAGGGCCCTGGGCATTCCTCTAACCCTTTACAATTCTTCCTTGAGACCTACATTGTAAGATCAACACTCTCTTTTCTTATGTCCTATCGTACTTTATTATACCTGATCCATTTTTCATCCAAAGGGTTACCAACGCCTATTTCGCACGGTCACCAAAGGCTGGATCCACCTGAGCTGCTCCTTGGATAATCATCTCCAGCGTTGATGACAGTTCAGGCCCTCTAAAAATGCACCTCTCACCGCTGTGGTGGAGCACCGAGGGAATGCATGAGGTAATTTCTGCATATGGGTCAGCCATTTTGTGAGAGGATGATAAGGGAGGGGGTCTCATTGGGGCCTCGCTCTTTATCTCCAACAGCTAGCAGATGGCTTTGTGGGCCAGTGGCAATTGCTGTGCTGTCTTGAGTGAGAACGACAGCTGCTCCCAGGAAAAGAGAAGGGACAAGAATGACATCCCAGCCTCCCAGGATAGTCCTCCTCCTTGACAGCAGACCACTTGGTTTTTAAGTATTAAATCACTCGGTGGAAACAAGGAATTCTCAATGACTGTGCAGTATTCAGGAAGACAGAATAGAAGCAAAGATAATTGAGGATGGATTTTCTATCAGTCACTGACTGCTGCTCACATTATTTGATAAACATCGTGGTCAGAAAATATAAGCAACTAACTGTTTTTGAAAGTCATTCAACAAATATTTATTGAGCATCTATTATGGGTCAGGCAATTTTCTAACCCCTTTGGGATACGGAGAAGATTAAGGCATGGCTCTTGCCCTCAGGGAGTGCACAGTCTGGCAGAGAAGTCAGATGTGTAACCGAATGACTACAGTAGGACAAAATCGGTGCCAGTCAAGGTGATTCAAAGTGCTAGGAGAGCCCCAGGGCAATTAAGCCTGAAGGAGTCAGTCAGGTTTCCAGAGACTGACAGTTGAGCAGACTTGAAGGCAAGTGAGACAAGGGAGGGCAGGGAAAGAATGTAGAAGTTGAGGGAGCAGCCAACACAAAAGCCAGGAAGAGTGATCAGCTGGGCATGGTGGGAAAGCATGTGGCTGGGATTGAGTCTGGGTATGAAGAAGGGGCGAAACGGGAAGCCAGAAAGAGATGATGAAACTAGAGAGGGAAGAGCCTCGTGTGCTGGACTAAGAAAACCATTGAGCCTTTCCCCTTGGAAGCGACGAGAAGGCGCTCAGGACTTAAAGGCAGGGAGTGACATGGTCTGTTTGGCCTGTTAGGTCAGTGTGTATGCAGGAGGGTTTGGAAAGAGAGGGAGGGTGACCAATGAGGAATTTCAAGGGAGGGCGATCAATCAGCCCTTCCCTTTGGGGCTGACAGACTGGAGGGGATCTTGGGAAGGAAACTTGACAAGAGTGGATGGATAATGGTACAAAAAGCAAAATGGCCTCCGAGAGGAAACAATATTGAAAATACACATTCAGAAAATACAACCCTTCCTCTGGGGGCTCACAATCCTCTGAAAGCACCACATCTGCCCACTCTGAATAAAGGAAGAGCCTTTCTTGAATTTGGACACCACTCACCTGAAATTGGCAACAATGTAAACGCCCATTGAGCAAGAATTTCACTTCCACCTACTTTCGTCCTCCATCTTGCCATGACTTTAGTCAAGGGATCTACAGGAATCCAATCTAAAGGCAATGTTTTCTTCGAATCAAGCCCTTGAGATGCAGTAGGCAGCTAATTACATGATGCTATCTGAGGGGCAGCCCCATATATTACCCCCCACCCACCCTGCCCGCCCCAGGGGCTACCAGGACAGGAATCCAATCATTAGGAATGCATTCCTTTGGGTGAGATTTTGGTCCCTCCAAGCTTCTCTCATCCGTGGCCATGGTTCCTGTGGCAAGTAGGACTTTTAATCATTCTAAGCCCAATAGAATGTCCGTTGATCAAAATGCCTTTCATTTCGCCGAAGGGGTCTGAGTAGTATAAGAGGACTGTATAGGTCCTTTTGAAAGAAGGTGAAGGACAGGAAGATTGAGGACAACAAAAGATAGCCTAAGATCTCGCCATAGGATTGCACTGTGAGTACTCAAGAAACTAAGATTCTTAAAGAATGCCTTCCACTTCTGGTTCCAGCAGATCACATGTGTGTTCTTAAACTTTAAGGAGCATCTGTGTTGTATGATTGAGATATGTCACTGGCTAATAAAGGCTTACAATGACTCTATATTTTCATGAACCTCAAATTACTTAGCACAGATTATAATCTAAAATAGTATGTCAAATTACAACAAATGCATTTTCCAAAACCATTTTCAGACTCCAACTTGTCATTCTCTTGTCTTTGGTCATTCCACCTCAATGAGATTTACCTGTACTTGTTGAGTGTCAACCAGTCATGTCACAGTGATGAAGGACAGACATTCAGACCCTGGCCTTGAGGAGTCTCATATATGACCCAATAAAGTAAAAAGGCTGCTTGTGAATACTTGGTTGGAGAAGGTAAAACAATGAACTTATTAAACCAAAAAAAAAGAAGCATAACAAACTTTAAACATTACTTACTTCACTAGTTTGAAGAATTGTGAACTTTGGGAGTTTAGTCTTTGTACTGGCTGCACTGGGCTTCCCGTCCAAGAGTGATCCAAATGACAGATTTCCAAAGCTGTTCTCGAATTCAATGGAAGGCTTCAGTGTTGGCGAGATGTCAGGTGCCTGGTCCTGGCCATCCATGGGTCTCACATATGCCGTTGGCTTTTGCTGCCCCAGACTTGGTTTGCAGTAAAGCCCTGGTGGGAAGTTTTGAACTGAAAGGCCACTGCTGGGAGCTAATAAAGATGAGGCAACTAGGGGAGACCCCGGTGCCTGCACTGTAAATTCAGATCCCCGTGGTGAGTTGGACTGAAAGATTTCTTTGAAAGCTTCCTCTCCGCTAGATTGGGGGTTCTTGTCTTCCTTTGCAGATGGGTTTGACTTTTCAACTGCTCCCACCTGGGGCTGTTCGGCTGGGTAGACAAAGAAGTCTTCCAGTCTGGCTTGGGGCTGGTCCTGCTTAGAAGTTGGCAGCTTACTTGGCTGGCTACTGACCTGGTTTGCTGGTACCGCGGTGGGGTTAGGACTATCTTGTGGCCAGTCGGGCTTAGATTTTCTGTTGCTATGGATTAGTGTGGAATTCAGTATGACGACAGAAGGTGGAGGCATTGGTGCAGAGGGGTGGGTATGATCCTGGAGAGGTGGGATCATTCGGTTCTTTGGTTCTGGAACAAAGCTGGGTTCATTTTTGTTGATGGGAGCCTGGGTCACAGAATTCGTTGGGATTCCCACTAGATGGTTTTGATTGGAATGGTTAGTTAGCAAATCCTTCATTTCATCATAGTTCCCCAGCGTGTTCTGGACTCGGTTGGCAAGTGCATCACCTTTGTTTGTCTAAAATAACAAAAAGATGGGGGTGGGAGGAGAGACAATGAATAGGTTTGTGTTTCCTAATGTTAATGCTTCAAACAGATGCCCTAAGTAGACTAGCATCTAGCGTTCTTTAAAACTGTCATGCTGTCACATAATTACATACTCGGTGCTCTGTAAGGGGAAAAATTTTCAAGACATGCGATTGAAAGCACCTCTTTGAACTGAGCTGGCGTGATTCATGTTTGTGTACTTCCTGGCCTGTCCTTAAACATACTCATTGGGAGAAAGTTTTAAAGTACGTGGCATATGAACTTTATTAGCGAAATAACTTATTTGCTGTCCAATGAGCTGAATTGTTATGTTCTACAAGGTGATGAATGACGTGCACTTACTAATCATTGGAATTATGATGGAATGGTTCAACCTATCTGTGTTCTTGACATATCAGTACTTGGAACACCATTATATTGTGCAACAGGCTTAGTCCATTGAATAAGAAAATCAGCTTAGTCATACTGTCACGGGGACATTAAGTTCAGAAAAGGCACAGGATTAAAAAAATTGATTTGAGCTAATTTATGACTACTGTGAGTCTAACTACTTCCTTTTAATCAAAGAACCATATAAATGATCAATTATCTGCCTACATAGGCTGGGGGCAAGTGTGTTTACGTATTGATGACTCATGTGCAATTGCTCATCATCAATGACTCATGCCCTCTTGTGTCTTTTCAGTGACTTAGAAAAATTTATTCCAGAATTTAAGCTGTTGCTTAAGTAAACAAAGATAAAGTTATCTTTTCAGAGTTACATTGGCCCAATGTGCAGATGAGAAGCAATACAGTTATTCTATGGGCAATCAACATATCAGCTTCCCCAAGTCCTGTTCCTGGAAAAAAACCCAACCCCACTGCAGTGCAGTCCAGTCCATGGTGACTGCCAGTGAGCCTGTAGGACAGAGTGAAACTGCCCCGGTGGGTTTCTGATGCTGTGCTCTTATGCAGACAGGCTGCCATTTCTTTATTCCAAGAGAAAAGCTGAACCCAACCTTTGGGTTAGCAGCTGGGTCCTTAACCACTGCTCTACCAGGACTCCTTCTATCCCCTGTCGGATCTACTAATCCCCTTACAAAGGCTGTGGTTATTTTACAAAGAATGGCGCCCTTGACAGAGTTTTGTAATGTAGAAAGCACAGCTTTATAATTAAAAAAAGGTGTGGGAGGTGTGGGGGGTTGGAGGGGGTGGTGGCGCGGCAGCAGAGTGTACTTATCATACTTGGAAGGAACTCTGCAAAAAGCTCAGCTTTTCATCTAGGGAGAGAGTTGTAGCAATCGCATAGCACGCCAAAGATGTTAGTTAAACAGGTTGCTGCTTTCAGAGGGGCGGAAGACTGCCCCTGCTGCACTCGCTGTCCAGACCTAAGATGCGGCACTGAGCCATCTAGCTGCAGAGTCAATGGGTGGGGAGTCATAGGCCCTCTCCCCATGCACAAAAGTAAGGTGACTGCCTCCCTACATGTACCTTCTCCAAGGAAGACATGTGGAAGAGCTAATGGTTTTCACCACCAACTGTTAACGTCGCCTAATCGCTTGGTGCCCTCAGGAAATAGCCCTCTCCGTTCTGACAGCTAAGCTTCAGTTGTATGGTTGAGTGCTGTTCTCCAGCTATAAAGTAGGGAGACGGACCCGAGTGCAGGTGGACAGAAGGTGAAGTGCTAGCAATGGATGGAATCACTCATGAAAAGAAGACGTAGAATGAGAAGATTAGGCTCAGGATAGAATCGGGGGTAAAAGCAACATCTAAGAGAGTAGGAGAAGAAATGCCAGCCAAAGGAACTAGAAAGGAACAAGCAGACCAGATCTCACCAGAAACCCTGGCCTCCTGATGGGCATGACATCCTTACACTGGAGGAGGTATTAAACTCACACCCTGCGCTAAATCATCGAGGATACTCCAGAGAAATGAGGGCAGTTAAGAGAGGCACAGGCATTTCTGAGAGTCAGAAGTATGCTAAATATGCGCTGAGGAGATTCTGTGGGGCTAGGGAATGCTGGAAATTAAATAAATATAAGTTAATTTGAGTTTGCTTAATTGCAAGAACATCTTATATTATATCATATGCAACCTTGGTGTTGAAGCCATGATCAAGCAATTAACATTCCTGGTGATCCTCAGCTGAATAACCACTCCATCTTCAGAAGCACATTCAAAAGATGTATTTAATAGATATGCATGGGGAGAAATCACTTATATGTGCTAAAAGTCCCTAGGAGAATCACTTTTATTGACCGAATTCACTTTTTTTGTTTTGTTTTAAACTATGGCAAGAATAAAGTCTTTGGACTAGCGGGCTCCTGAAGCTGAGTTGCACAATGAACCAGTGGGTAGCAGCCAACCGTTCGTCTCTCTGTTCAGTATTTAACTGTAAAAGAAGGAGATTCCATTATGCAGAGGGCCTGGCAGGAGTGTGATGCAAGCTTGAAAGCCTTACAGGGTGCTTCTGGCCCCTCCAACAGTTTGCCCCGTGGGTCAGATATCTGGCGCAAGAACACCGATAGCTGGCTCTCTTCAAGGGTCTGCCGTAACAAGCGGAAGCACCCTTATTTCATTGCCCATTTGACATGCTGTGTCATCTTGCCTTGTGGCTTCTGCTCTCTCTGGCCAACTTCCTCAGGTCTCAAGACCTCAAGGACCACAGTCCTGTGCTTATTCCAGAAGGAAACAGGAGGGTCAAGTTCACTTTAGACTCACTGGAGAGAAAGAATATTGGTTAGCTTGTAATGGTTCTTCATGTATGCTCCCTGTTCTGATCCCCACGCACCAGACTTTAAGAAACGTTTGAAATTTGGAGAATTTACCAACTGGCCAAGGTCTACAATTGGGTCTGCATGAATAAAATGAAGGGGAAAACTGAAAGTTTTCTGAATTATTCTAGACAATCAATCCTGTACAACTTAGTTTATGCTACAGTTAGGGCAGAAGTTTTGTTTTGTTTTGAAACACAAGCCTGAGAGATCTTAAAGGGCAGTGACTACCTTTTATTCAACTTCCTAGGCCTAATACTTAGGACCATGTCTGATGTCATATGAGAGACTCAATAAGTGGTTAATGAACAGAACCAGATTGTAATTCACACTCTGTATGTGTGTATTTACAAACTTGTAATAGCCTCGAGTTGGAGCCTGGGGTGTAGTGGTTACACAATGGCCTGTTAACTCCAAGGTCAGAAGTTCGAAATCACCTGCTGCTGCCCATGAGAAAGAGGAGGCTTTCTGCTCCTCTAAAGAGTTACAATCTTGGAAACCCACAGGGGCAGACCTACCCTGTGCTGTAGGGTTGCTGTGAGTCAGAACAGACTTGATGGCAATGAGTTTGATTTATAATAGCTTCGAATAAACTGGAAAACATTAGGGGGAAAAACCAAATGCACTATCATTGAGTTGATTCTGACCCAAAGCAACCCTATAGGGCAGGGTAGAACTGCTCCTGTGGGTTTCTGAGACTGTAACTCTTTACAGGAGTACAAAGCTCTGTCTTTCTCCTGAGGAGCGGCTGGTAGTGTCCAACTGTTAAACTCACAGTTAGCAGCCCACCACATAACCCACTACGCCACCGAAGTGTACTGAACTCACTGCCATCGAGTTGATGCTGATTCATAGTGACCCTACACGGCAGGGTAGACTGCTCCTATGCGTTTCCGAGACAGTAACTCGTTACAGGAGTACAAAGCCCTGTCTTTCTCCTGAGGAGCGGCTGGTGGTTTTGAATTCCTGACCTTGCGGTTGGCAGCCCAAGACCAACTTGGATACCATGATTAAACAGTAAATTGAACTTCAAATTTCCTGGTAGCCAAAGCCAAAAAGAACAGCTCTCAAGTTTTAGAATTCTCTTTGTCTGATAGAAGGCAGCGTACCCTAACTCATTACATGAGACAAATGGCTGCCTGATACCAAAATTTGGGAAGGAATTCCTCTCATTGGAGAGTTGACAAGGGCCTTCGAGCATAAGAAATGATTATTTTTTCAGCACCAATTCTTACAGAAGATGCAAACATGCTCTTCCTATGGTTTTTCCTTTCACTTATGATAACTACATGGGAAACAAGGGGGCTGGCTAATAAGAACCAGGTGTGTAGCTTTTGCGTGCCCTCAAAGGGTCGAGCGGCAATGACCTGAAGGGATGCCAGGATGCCATGTCCCTTAGACTTCATAGAGCAGTCATCTCGGAGGGACATGTGACAGAAACTCCATAGTGAACACTTGGACATTGACTTCCCTGGCGACACTTGGAGTTGCTGATTGAAGGAAGATCCACATGCTTTGCATAACCTGTGCTGTGACTACAAGCAGGACTTACTATGGTCCTTCATAAAAGGAATGCTGGCAATTGTGAAAGCCTCAGAGGGTGGGGTGAGACATGCAGGACACGCCCTCCACCTCCCAAAGTCCACCCATTGACAAATCCCAAATAATTAACAGTCCAAACTAGGTTGCCAGAGCAAACGGGTGCCTTCTCCTCCCTGCAGGTGGGTGTCAATCACTTTTAAAATTTCTCAAGATGGAGATAATAGAGCCACCTGATAGAACAGCCAATGGATCCTGAAGTCTACTGTCACCCACCTACTCAATGTGCTATCATTATGTGCCACAGCAACCTCCAAGTCACACAAAGGGGTCATTTTTGCCCGCCAGAGTCTGAGAGATCCTATTGAGGGGCAAGGTATTCTTGGCAATCTTGATCGAACATAATCAACATGGCAAAAAAAAAAAAAAGGAATTTATCCATTTCAATCAATTATAGGCTTCCTTCAATTTTGCCTTTTTTTTTTTTTTTACTTTCCGTTCTAGATCATTGGTTGAGTCTTTAAATGTAGCCTCTGTGGCCGTTATTTTCTAGTAATCACAGTTTCTCCATCATCAAGGAAAGGCCCTTTCCCAGGATTTGCAGGCATAAATTACACGTCTGGTTTGTGGTTCATGACTAACAGCACTCCTGCATGTCAGCTTGTTGCCTCTCATTACTTCAGGAAATGGGAGCTTCCCTCAGCTCCCTTCAGAGGCTAGCTACAAATCAATAGTATAATTTCATTGCAAGACTAATTTCCTAGTGGGCTAGGGTACTTTCGAATAGCTTTTTTAATAAAAGGAGCAAAATAATTTCCGTTCATTTTCCCCCCCTTTTCTACAGTATGGTGTTTAGCAGGTGGGTTGTTTCTTTGTTCCGATTCTCATCTTGGTACAGTTCCTCTTGCTCAGAAATGGCCATTTTCCACTTTAATCTAATTATCATAATGATCAAAAATATCTAAAATTTGTATAGCACATCCCAGAATTCCAAGTAAGGTCTCTCCAGTTGCTTCATTTATTTGATCCTTACAACAACCATGGGAGTCCTCCAAGCAGCAATGGCTTCAATGTGTTCGCTATCTACCTCAGCCTCAATGACCTTGGGCAAACTTCACTTAGCCTCCCTGTACCTCAGCTTCCTTGTGCTTATGGAGCTATGAAGAGCTATTAAATGCTGCTTATGATTATGAGCCAGAATTATCTAGTTGAGAGAGGAGGAAGCAATGATTCAGAGAAATGAGCTTTCGTCCCCAAAGTCACACAGTAAGTAGGTAAGTGGATCAAGTCTCTGGACTTTGTATTACAGGATCAACCGGTTCTTCTTGCAGACAGGGAACCCTATAGAACTGGATTCAATGTCAATCTTCACAACTTACTACCTCACCTTACTGAGCCTCGCATTCCTCGTGGCGAGCATGGGGAAAATGCTTACTCCATAAAGTTGTCGGCAAGACTAAGTGAGCGTAGAAGCACTGAACAGTAGACCTTTGGTATATGTCAGTTTCTCCTCCCATTCAGTCTTTCCACTCAACCCTAGAAAAGTCCAGAGACTTCAGATTTTTCTAGAGTTTTCTAAGATGTCCTTTCCGATAGCACAGCACAAAGTCAGATTTGAAAAGTTATGTTATAATAACATCCCCAAAGTGCCGTACTACCAACCAAATCTGGGGATGGCCAACATCCATTTCACTCTAAGAGTGGTAGAGGAAATTTAAAGAAGAGAAAGAAAATCCACCATGAACATGAGAGATCACCATTGCTCTTTTTGTGTCAGGAAAAGGCAATAGTGATTGGAATCCTAAGGACAGAGGCTCATGGCTAGTTTATAAACCACTGACTCTTGGCCTTATGGATCGCAGCCCCATGTGCAAACGGGGAATAAAGTAAGGGCTCCGCAGAAGGATGGGGTAGATGATGTTGAACTTGAAGAATAATCCTTGAGTAAAGCCCATTATTTGAATCCATCCAAAGTTTTGATAGAAAACTAATCAGATTGTTCCTCTTTTGCTTCCAAAAGAGATTAGGCTTCTCTTACCTTTGAATTTCTCCTCATCATCTGGCTTAAAGTTCTCCCTCTGCCCGTCAGTCTCCCGGCTATTCTCCTCGGGGTGGCTGTCCTAATGTCCATTCCCGTCTTCCTTCACAGGGCCCAGTACTCTTCACATGTGCCAGATGTTGTCTTTTCTCATCTCTGGGGCTACTATGTATTATCGCTTTTCTCTCTTGGCTAGTTTATAAACCTCTCTTCTTGTTTCCTTTTCTTTCCCCCCCAGGAGCCACACGGTCGGCAGTTTGAAACCACCAGCCACTCTGCAGGAGAAAGGCGAGGCTTTCTAAGCCACAATGAGTGACAGTCTGAAACTCACTGGGGCAGTTCTACTCTGTCCTATCGGGTCACCATGGGTCAGAATGGGGTTGATGGCAGTACTTTGGCTTTTCCTTTTCCATTGATAAGGGTTCCATCCCATTAACTTTGAAACAGGTTCCAGTTTCTCTCACAAAGACTTTGGCTCATGCACGCCTTTTGTCCTTCCTCCCTCTGTCCCAAACGATGAAGTCCACAGCCAGGGCTTCTCATTCCTGGCTTGGCCACTTTCCAATTGCTCTCTCTGACATCCTGATGCCTCACAATCATCACGTGAAACCGTTCTCTTTAACATCGATCATATTCCCTCCCTGCCAGTTCCCCAAACCACATGCCGGCCCTTCCCTCTTCTGACCTCTCCCGCACATGGAACTAGAACATCTCTTCTCCACAAAATCGCTTCGCGATTCTCTCCTGGTTCTCACGCGGCCTCACTGGGTACGTTTGGAACCGTCCTTCCCTGACTTCCTCCGTTAGTACTTAAATGCTGCTACTCCCCAGGATCCATGACGTGTCCTCTTCTTACTTCATAATTGGACTCAGTGACCACATTCCCTCTCCCCCCCTCCACTGCCATCACCACCATGAGGGCACCACCATTTCTCTTTTGATTGCCGTCACGAGTTGCAGATCCAAATATCGCTGCCTACTGAACTTTTCTCCCTTGAGAGCCCACCGGCATCTCAAACGCATCAGGCACAAAGCTGAATGGATTTTTTTCTCTCCACACCAACTCTGTTCTCCCCTTGAAAGAGCTCATAATTATACTATCAGCTTCTCAAGACAAAAACTAGGGAGTCTTTTCTGCCCCCCTTCCTTACATCTGATCAGACACCCAGTCCCTTCACCTCTACTTACCTACTCAACCTTAAGTTCTTCCTGCCATGCATTCCTATTAACAACATCAACAGCTTCTTTCTCGGCCTCGAGATTTCCTCCCTCCAACCTCCTCTCCACACTTCCCTTCTACAATGTCCATCTGTTCTGGTCCAGCCCTAATTTTAACACTTGCCATGGCCCCTCTTGTATAGAAGTGCCTCAGGCTCTTTGTCCAGGGTGCAAAGTCTCCACTGATCTTGGCCCCGCCTCTTTGTCTAGCAGTGTCACGTAGCCATGCCCTCACCCTTGCCTGGCCAGCTCTGCCACTGAACCACGGATTCCTTGAAGACAGGGCCTAGAACTTACTCCGATGTTTGCACCGTCTCAGGCAGTGACGAGTACATACTGTTAAAAAACAACACAAAACACAAACTTGCTGCCGTCCTTCTGATGCACAGTGACCCAAAAGACAGAGTCAAAGGGTTCATGGGGTAGCTGAGATTGCAAACAGACAGGAGCAGACAGGAGCAGACAGATCCATGTTTTTCCTGAGGTGAGTCCGGACCACCACCCTTGCTATTACCAGCCCAGCACTTACTCCATGACAGATCCAGGGCTCCATTGACAAGTACATAGTGGTTCTTTACTAGACTTGTCCAACTAAGCATTTCTCTGAAGGCAAGCATTTAAAAGTAGCATGTAAACTAAATGAGCTGGGGTAGAACAACAGTTTGGCTGGCATATTGAAAACTACTAGGTTAAGTGCCCCAAGTGCAACCCTTTTGTCCAACTTACCAAACTTGAAAAAGTTCGGTATGAACTAAGCACGGTTTTCTTGCTGGGAATCAGGTAGCTAGGCTCCACTCCCACTACAGCTAGCAAGGCAAGCAGCTCATTCTCTCACCTAGAACTGTACTGAGGCCCATGCTGTTCTCATTCAGAACTTTCCTCTTTGAGAAATTGTTGTCCCTTAAATGGTATTCGAAAATCACAACTCTGGAATAGAAAATTTCTCTATTGTCATTCTATTCCTTAAATTGGTTTTGTTTCATTACAGGAAATTACAATGCTACTCCATTGCAATAAAAACCAACCAGCTGCCAGCCATTCAATATGCTCCTTCTCTCAGAATCTCTTCCCCGTCACCCCCAGCCCCCACTTCATCGTAGAACAGGAGTGGAAAACCGATGCTTACAGACACATATCAGTATGACCATGAGTGGAGCCAACGCCAACCAAAGCCAAAGCCATTGCTGTAAAGTCCATTTCAACTCTTAGTGACTCTTGAGGACAGAGCGGAACTGCCCCAGTGGCTTTTCGAAGCTCTATTTTTTACAGAAAGCGGGTTGTTCCCCTCTTTCCAGGAGGGGGCTAGTGGGTTTGAACCACCAACCTTTCGGTGAGCAGCTAAGCGCTTAATCTCTGTGTAACCAAGACCATGTGGAGTCACACACTAGTCAAAATACCACTGGAAAATCAGCTTTGCTCTGGTACCCCCTCTGGTTGAGGCAATTTCCTTTGCCAGGATCATTCCCCAGCAGCAAAACTGTGTGGCTCCTTCTTTGCTCCCAGAACAGTGATTTTCAAAGAGCACACAAATTGCCAGACAGCTGTACACAACCCAAAATGGGAATGGCAAGTCTTCACCTTACAAGGAAGGGATGGCGCTGCTGGTGAGGCAAAGATGACACCCCTAAAGCCACTCTTTAGGGACTGCGAGCTGATCATGGATGCTTGACCAAGAGCCAAACAGGCATTCCTTGCTGGAGAAGGTGAAGGGCAGTGCAAAGTCCCCCAAGTCTCATTTAACTCTTTCTGTGCTCCCAGAAGGAGCAGGAACCTGCCATTGTACCCAACACAGTGTATGCATCGATTTCATTGTAAAGCATCATCTCCCTTCAAGGAGTAAATCTCCATGAAAACATCACACTCCACGCCACTGAGTCCATTCCGACTCCTAGCGAGCCTACAGAACAGGCTAGAACTGCCCCTGTGGGGTTGATCCCAGCCTGTCACTCTTCATGGGAGCAGAAAGCCTCATCTTTCTCCCTTGGAGAAGCTGTGTGTTTCAAACTGCTGATCTCCAATGTAGGAGCATCCCGCATGACCCCCATCCCCACCCCCACCCCACCAGAGCTCCAAACATTGATTCAAAAATTGACAATTGCAACAAGTAACCGTGTTCTAGAAAGAGAAAGGACATACATATTCAGCTACCTTGTAGGGCTCCCCAAAAAGATCAAAGCCCGAAGAAAAGAGATCTTCTTCTTGCTGGACTTCTTGACTCCTCCGCTCCCATTCCCTCTTTTTAAGTGCACTACGGTCTTGTTCATAGTGACTAACAAGAAAAGAGAAAGACAAAAGAAGACAAAGGATTAATTAGTCGGTGAAGTCATTTCGATAGCCCTTGTTATCAATAAGGAAATCATGGGTGGTAGATGCGGTTAAGCCCTCAACTGCTCAGCCAAATGCTGGCACATCAAACCCACCCAGAAGCACCTTGGAAGAAAAGTCTGGCAATCAACTTCCCCCAAATTAAACTGTTTGCGGCAGTTCCGCTCTGACACACATGGGGTTCCCAGGAGTCCCAATGGACCCTACTACCACTGGTTGGGCTGGGGGTTGTTATGAGTAAGAAGAAGGAACAGAAGGCTCACAGACACTGAGGCGAGACTGGAAAGCAAGCCAAACAACCTTTGTCTTTAGTCTCACTGGATGGAACGTCGGGTCTCATGAAGAACACTGTGATTGCCTTATCCCAATTATTCCCGTGCCCACTTATCCCTGGCCCTGGCCTAGCCTTGATTACTGCAGGCCATTACACACTCCCCAAAGATTAGGTGGTGTGGCAAGCTTTTCAAATTTTTTAAAATTTAAATCATGTTATTGGGGCCTCATACAACACTTATCACGATCCATATATACATCCATTGGGTCAAGCACATTTGTACATTTGTTGTCATCATCATTCTAAAAACATTTGCTCTCCACTTAAGCCCTTGGTATCAGTGCCTCATTTTCCCCTCCCTCCCGGCTCCCCCTCCCTCATGAACCCTTGATAATTTATAAATTATTATTATTTTATCATATCTTACACGGCTTGACATCTCCCTTCACCCACTTTTCTGTTGTCCGCCCCCTCCCTGGTGTGACCTCCTTACTAGGACCCCAAATTCAAATGCAAAAGTCCTGAGGACAGGGAATGGGGGTGGGAGCGGCCTACAGACAAACAGGAATCTGGCCCTGCGCCCACAGTCATGGTTCAGTTCGCCTGCTTGAAAGGAATCCACAGGGGACTCTAAGGAGGCATTTGACATTCCGCACAAACCACGTTGCTTAATCACCCATTTTCCTTGTGGTTGTGGTTTTGGTGGTTGCTGTGGTTTTGGGTTTTTCCATGGTTTCCTAGAAGCTGACTGGACTCTGGGGGGAAATGCTTTACAAAGGAAGGGGCCTAGCTGGCACGATTAACAAAGCAAGGACCTGTGAGGTGCCTGGAGGGATCAGAATCCACAACTGTTTCGGAAAGAGGGCACAACTCTGCCTGCCTTCTTGGACGCTCCAGGGACAAGATTCAGGACGTTCCTAAGAGCATTTCTGGGCCCTTGGATCTCCTCAAAGGAAACACTTCTTTTAGAGGAAAACCATTATTTCGTCATGCTGCCAGCCTGGGAAAAGGAACAGTGGTCTATCAGCCGCAGGGGAGTGCGTTGGATTTTGCTTGTTAGTTTTCTTCCGCTCCTCCTGCTTTTAATTTGAATCTTCCCCAAACTGAGGGCATCGAGGCTGGGCACGTTGGAAGGGCATCCATGGATGTGGAACCTCACAAGTGCTGTCTCGGGGTTGGGTTCCTTCTCCATGCTCACACTACCACGTTCAGACTTAACTGGATCATTGACATGCAAATGAGCATGAGAGCAGAAGGAATTCTAGAACCACGCCCGAGTGTGGAATACCTCCCAAACACTCCCGCTGATCCTGAGGAGCACAGCTTCGGCACATGAGCATCATCACCTGAACTGATGAGATCAGAACCTAACTAGATACCGATGCGCGTGGAGTGTGCGATGCCACTACCTTTAGTCATCTGCCTGTCTCCCTGGGATTCCTTGACCTGTCACATTCAAAGTGACTTCGACAGCCTTCTCTTCTGGATCAAAAACTCGTCAGTCCTCCGCTTTAAAAGCATGGCCACATACAGAGAATGTTGAGAGGTGTGATACATGTTCCCAATACCCATATCATCTGGTACACAAGCCCTCAGGGCCCCCACTCCTGAGCCTGCGCAGCCAAAGGTTTCCCTGTCAGGGGAGCATCAAGGAACCTCACTGCCATCACCACCGCCTATATCCCCAGGCAGCCTGCTCAGGAAATGTGTCTGGTCTCCACACCGAAAGCCACCCCTCACAGAGATGACCTTTTCTAGCCTCTTCTCTCCTTGATAGCCACAAAAGGGTGAAAGCTGATCCCAAACTGCTGGAGAGGGTTGTGGAACTAGGCCGAGTCACATCATCTTCAGTCTCTGAATTGCAGGGTATCAGTTTATACCTCAACACTGCTTATCTAGGTTTGGTATCATCCAAGCCCACCAAATCTACCAACATTGAAGTCATGAGGGAGTCTGGGGTGGAAGGTGGGTCCCAAGTTCGAGGGACAGTCAGTGAAGCTGGAAGAAGAGACCCCTAGGCCAAGAAGGCCAGGAGCCTAACTCCTTCCTTAGTCACGGGAGCCGGGGGTACCCCCACTCCAACAAGAGCCAGGGTCTCCGGCTCCTGAACGGTGACAAAGAGCAAGATGTGAGGCTCTGAGCTCAGTTCATTCTGTGGACCTGACAGCCCAGGATGACAGGCCCATAGATCACATTTAATTCTCCTACGAAGAGAAGTGAGGCACTTTGGTCTCTCGGCTTCGCAAACTGTCTTCCTTCTCCTCCGAAGGAAAGATATAATTAAAACCCCGAAGGAAGCAAAAGGAAGCAGGAGCAGAAAAGGAAACGTGCTTCAACTTGCATGACAACCCTTCAGAGGGCCTGCATTAAGGGCTGTCTTGGCGTCTGCACCCCATTGGTGTGTTCAGGGGCTCTGGCGTCGTCAGTTCATTAGCTCCCCGATTCCAGAGGCGCAGCCGAAGAGCAGAGTGGTGTTATTTGTTGCAAGCCTACCTGCCTTGTGTAATTAGCACAAATACCAAAGAACGGCGAAGTCTTGTATCTCTGGCTAGAATGAATTTCATCTCCATAGAGTGCCACTGCTTCTGGAAGGCTACCAAATATCCCCAACCTTCCCCCCACCCCCCTTGGTGCTCAGCGTGGCCTGGTATTGAAAGTGTCGCACATGGCGAGCTATAATGAGGACTGAACTCCATGGTGCTGAGGCTTCCGCAGCACAGAACATTACTGATTTCTGACTGAAACCAAAAGGACTCATTTGAAGCGCCAGCTAATTAAAACCACAGCTATGTATTTAGCCTCTTGTTATACCTACTGCAGTTTATAATTATGAGGACCTCTTTATCTTCTCAATGAAAGTATCTTCTGAATCGGGGGG